CCCCATGAGCGCAGCTCCCATGTATTTCCTGGAACAGGGACCCCCTTGGGACAGGAACCCCCACGGGGATGGGGACCACATCCTGGCAGGACCCAGCAACACCCAGAATGCAAACGTCCCGGGGAGGCTTATCGGGATGCATCCTGCTGGGGCCGGGCACCCCAGCTTCCCCAGGGCGATCCCAGATGACGCGTGGCACAGGCAGTGCCCGCCCTGCTGCCCCTGCCTGCCAGCTGTGCACCACAGCTGGCAAGCAGGGGGTGTGGGCTGCCTGGCCCTTTTGGGGTGCAGCACCTCCTGGGTGCCATCCCCCTCACCCATCACCCACTGCCTGGCCCCCCCCCGGGCACCAGGAGGTGCCCGCTCTGCTCTCCAGGGTAGGTCACAGCTCCTCCATTAACCAGGGGCAGGGTTCAGCCCGATAAAGATTTGCTTTTGTACTCTGTTCTAAAAGGAAAAAAAATAATCAATATTATTGATATCACAAGCGATAAAGGCAGAAAGCTCCCCTTAACTGCCCCCTCCCCCACCCCAGGGCAGGGATTGCCCCCCAAACCTGTAGGGAGAAGAAAGCAGCAGCCCAGCTCTGCTGTGACCACCCCTGCTTTGGGCTGTGGCAGCTCAGCCAGAGCAGCCCCAGGCTGAGCCCGGGCAGGCGCAGCCCAGCAAGGCTGGAATCTAAACCCTCCTCGCTCCTTTGTCATCCCCAAGGCTGCCCTGATTACTCGAGCACTCGGGACGGCAAAGCTGGGATAATCTCCTTAGCCCCTTTGGAGAGATTTCCCTTTGTGAGCCGAGGTGAAGAGTGGAGATGCTGCGTGTTTGCAGCTTAAGACTCTTCCCAATCGGCTCCCTCCATCTTATCAGAGCGGTGCCATCACATCATTGCGCTAGTTGAGTTGTCAGGATTTATTCCTTCCGCTGCGCGCTCGCCGCTTCTAAAAACAGCAGCCAGGGCCTGTGGCAGGGCTGGGCCAGGGCTTCTCCAGCTCCTCTTTCCCCAGTTGGGAGTGGGAGAGCCATGGGAGGCTGGGGACCCATGGATGGATGGATGGATGGATTGGTGGATGGTGGATCCATCCATCCATCCATCCATCCATCCATCCATCCATCCATCCATCCATCCCTCTTCCCTCTCTCCCCCTTGAATATTCCTGTGCCATCCTGCATGTGTTGGGATAGGAGCAGGGACAACCAGTTCATCCCCATTCCCCCAGGCTCATGCTGGGGCTGTTCCCAGCATTGTGGGCCCCCCCAGATCTGGCTGCTGTATTAATAGGAGCAGCTTGGCTGGTGCTGGGACACATTCCCGTGACACCCCGATAGCAGTGTTTATCCTGATTGGGAGAGCCATGGGAGGCTGGGGACCCATGGATGGATGGATGGATGGATTGGTGGATGGTCCATCCATCCATCCATCCATCCATCCATCCATCCATCCATCCCTCTTCCCTCTCTCCCCCTTGAATATTCCTGTGCCATCCTGCATGTGTTGGGATAGGAGCAGGGACAACCAGTTCATCCCCATTCCCCCAGGCTCATGCTGGGGCTGTTCCCAGCATTGTGGGCCCCCCCAGATCTGGCTGCTGTATTAATAGGAGCAGCTTGGCTGGTGCTGGGACACATTCCCGTGACACCCCGATAGCAGTGTTTATCCTGATAGTGTCCAAGCAGCTGCAAACACTCTGGGACCTCTGAGCCTGGATCCCTGCTGAGGGGCAGAGCTGGTTCCTTTGGATTTGATCATAGTTGTCCAGTTGAGGTGAGGAGATGCAGGGATGGGATGGGATGGAAGGGTTTTCCTGGGCCTGGATGGGCACCCTTTGCCCTTCCCTCCTACTCGCTCCTTCAGGGAAAGCAAATTTTAGTGTATGGATGTGACTGCAGTTCCAGAGCATCTGGGAACAAGGCCAGATGGGCACAGGAGCTGGTCTGGCTCGTTGCAGCTCCCAGTGGAGCATCCTCACCTGGACATGCTATGTATTTCCCTGTGCTGTAGGAAGATGCAGCCTGGAGGTGCAAAACCCTTGCAGGTTTCACCCCTCCCTTTGTGCCCCTCTGGTCCCTGGGGGCTCAGGTGCCAGCCTTGCCTTCTCAGCCACCGATCGATTGCCCGGTGCGTGGCCGTGCTGTGGTGATTGATCTTTGCTCCCCAGCTCAGCTCAGCCCTACTTCTTTGAAATCTCTCGATGGGAAGATAAGCTGAGACGCAGCGTCGGGTGAGCAGGTGCTGTCACCAGGGGGCAGGGAGCAGCCCCAGCACCCCACGGTTTGGCACAGGAGGGGGACTGTGCTGTGCTGAATAGGTGCACCCAGCTCAGCAGGGGCTTTTCCCCCTCCTGGTTTGCTCTCTGACGCTGTTCATCGTGACCCAAAGCAAACAGCCACGTCCCTGCCCAATTTGGTTAATGATCTGGGAGATAAACCCTCCTGTGATAACGGTGGCACCACCCGGCCGGGAGCGATGGCCAGGTGAGATACCAGGGTGGTGTTCACCTGCTGGGGGAATCCCTCAGGGACCTGCACCCACAGACTTTGCCCCTCTCTTGAGGGGCACCCAGGGTCCTTCACAGGCTGGCACCAGCTGTTCCCAACCTCCCCAGGGTGCAGGCAGGGCAATGAGGCTGAATCCAGCACCATCAGAGCAGAGGGATGGGGACTGCAGGGTTGTCCCCACCTGGGGACACAGCCCAATCACTTTGGGCTTTGCTCCCAAGAGCGGACAACGTCACAAGGGAGCACCTCCCAGGCTGCTCCATCCTGGCTCAGCACCATTTCCCCCGTGCCAAGGGAGAAGGGCAGGGATGGTTAGTTGGGAAATCACCTTTTTTCCTCCTCTTGTTTTGTCTTTTTATTTTTTTGCACCATCACAGTGGGCACAGCCAGGTACCACGGGGGCTCCAGCAGCTGCACCCATCCAAGTGGAAAACCACTCAGCACCACTGCCTGGGGTTCACTACCAGCCTGTTTTTGGGGTGACACTGGTGGATTGGGCCACCAGCTGGGGCAGTGGCCATCGGGCCCTGGCGGGGGGTGGGGAAAAGGGGGGCCAGCTCCAGCAGCACTATTTTTGTCCCCCTGTCTGGAACGGTTTTCTCTTTATCAGCCCCTGCGTGTTTTCTCTGCTGGGGATTGATACACAGAAGATGAAGTGCTCTGACATGGGAAGTGTCAGGCGAACGCTCTTATCTTGGAGACATGGTCTCCTGACCCAAACGCTGCTGATTACCAGTGAGACGGGGGGAAGGGGGGCCAAAAAGGGGGGGGCACTGAGGAGGAGAGGTGGCAGTTGGGCTCCGTTCCCCGAAAGCTGCCAGGCTGTGCAGGGTGGCAAAGCCTGAGGCGAGCCACCACTCTTGGGGCTCTCCTGGAGGTCTGAGGGTTTGCTGTTCCCTCCCTGGGGCTGGAGGGGTGAGGACCAGTGGCCTGGGGAGCACCATGCAGGGAGCCTGACACCCCAGCAGCACCTCAGGAGGCAGCCAGAGCTGGGTGTTGGAAACATGGAGCACCATGCAAGGGGTCTTGACTGCTCCACTCAGTGCCAATGGCCTCATCCTGCTGGGAGCTCTGCTCCCTGCCTCTCCCCCAGGTCCTTACTGGGAAGAACCAGCCAGGCAAGGGGCTGCTGCTGCCCCTTCTTGGCATCAGGTTTGCGCCAGGGAATAAATCCCATCAGCTCCTCAAAGGCTTCAGCCCACCCTCTGCCCTCCTCCCTCTATGGAGATGGATCTGATGGTTGCACGAGCAGAGAGATGCAGGGTGGGCACAGCTGGCACCCTGCTTGCTCCCAAAACCAATTCACTGGGATGAAATCCCAGCTGGAAACAGAGCTGGAATCCCCAGCACCTGGGGTGGTTTTTGTGAGCGTGCCAGCACCAAGGGCTCCCAGGTGGAAGGCACCCAGGTGCTGTGGAGGTGGCAAGGGGGGAGTAAGCAGCCCTGCCTGCACCCCGGGGGGCTGCAGCATGGGGGGAGAGGGTGGCATGAGCACGGGAACCAGCCTGGTGACCCCAAAGACCTTGGGGACCTTCAAAGCCTTTGCTGAAGGTGGGTTTTGTGGTATGGCATCAGCTGCTGCCTTGGGGGTGTGCTCAGAGCTGTGTCCCTGGTGGCACAGAGCATCCTCAGTGCAGAGGGGACCTGCAGGTGACAGTGGGACCTGGGTGATCACAGGTGCCACCAACCCATGATTCCAGTCATTCACCTTAACTCACCCCAGCACCAAGAGGATCCAGGTGTCAGCCTGGCTAATAAACACATCAGATTTCAATCTCTGCAGCCATGGGATCTCTTTATCCTCCCTGCACTTCCAGCTCTGACAGCAATTTTGCCTTCCTAAGTGCTCAGCCTACTCCCCACCCATGGGACCTGGGCACCAGCCACGTCCCAAAGGACAGAGCTCTGGGCACGTGGCTTTAGAGAGGCTTTTTGTGGTGTCAGGGTAGTGGGGAGGGAATCCAGAGCACCCCAGGGTGCTGGGAGCTCCCCCAGACACAGCGGATGCCCTGGGATCCTGCCCTGCTGGTGGTCCAGTGGCTTGCTGAAGGATTTAAGGATCGTTGTGTTTTTGGGGGTGCAGGGTCCAGCCCCTTCCAGCCAGCACACATCCATCTGTGTATTGGTTACCTGCCATCTTATCTGTGCTCCGAAAGACAAAGGCACAGTTAAAACATTTTCGAGCAGCCTTCATAGCGTATTAACGTGTTATCTAACCCATTAAACCAGAGGCTTATCAGATAATCAAAGCCATTAAGCCCTGAAGCTGCTGCAACTTTGGGTGTGGGGATGGGAAATGCTCCTTCCTCTCCATCCTGGAGCCTGGACCCCCCGGGCTGTGCCTGTACCCCCTCGTGAGCAGGTGGATCCTTCCAGGGACATGCAGCACCCACCAGCAGTTCTGTGCTCCATGTGTGGATGCCCCCATCCCCAGGGACCTGGGGCTGAGGGGGGGGTCTGGCTGGGGGGGGCATGGTGCTGATGCTGTGCCTGTCTCCCCACAGATGAGCTGGATCTGGTCGTGCAGGAGGGGGAGAGGCGGGTGCAGACCTGCAGGAGCCTCCCCGAGGGTTTCTCCTGGGGACCCTTCCAGGGCAGCATCCACAGCGAGCCAGCATCGCCGGGACACGGGGAGATGGTAAGGAGCTCTGCAGGGGCTGCCAGGACAGCAGTGGGGAAAGTCCCAAGGAGTTGTTTAGGGAAGAGAGTCGGGTTTTGGAGGGGTTTTCCCTGCTTGAGCTCTCAGTCCTCTGGGAATCACCCAGTTTGGATGCCCAGGAGGTTTCCCTGCCGTGTGCTGCTTGAGCTCAGAGCAGGGGCATGAGATGCTGGCTGCCCCCTCCCTGCCCCTCCTTGGCATGGCTTCTGGGTGGCACGTGTGTCCTCTCAGAGCAGATGAGGTTTGGCTTTCCCACCCCAAATTTGCTCTCAGGGGACTGTGGGTGTGCCTGGAAGGCAGCAGGGCTCTGCAGCCTGAGGGGAGGGGGCAGGAGAGGGGTAATGGGGGGCACCGGGAGCTGTCGGTAGCAGGAGCACAGGGGAGCACTGGGATGGGAGCAGTGTGCACATGGAGTGTGTGTGTGTGTGCACATGGAGTGTGTGTGTGTGTGCACATGGAGTGTGTATGTGTGTGTGTGCACAGGATGTTGTAGGCACTGGGTCTTTCCCCCTGCATCCCCCCCAGAGCCACATACAGGCAGCTCCACCCCAGGAGGGTGTTCCAGGCTGGAGAATCCTGCCCAGGCTCCATCCCCAACACTTCCTCCTCTCTCCTTCAATCTCTTTTTTTTTTTTTTTCTTTTTTTTTGAGCCCAGGCCCGTTTATCTTTGCCGAATTAAATCCTTGATTAACCCTTATCTGCCCAGTTTGGCTCCCTATCTCCCGGTTGGCGCCGTGTGTCCAGACACCCGGTACAGGATGATTGATTTCTTAAAGATATGCGCAGCTTTTTTCTGATACTTCATTTATTGTCTAAATATTTTTGCTCCCATTTCAGCAGCTCCCTTATCGAGCCCGGCTGATGATTCCCAGCCCTGCTCTCCTTTGCCATTTGCCTCCCTCCCTATCTCTGCTCGGGGAAGTGAGGAAGGAATCGCTGCCCCATCCCTGATATGGGATGTCGCCCTCGGGTCCCTTAGTCTTTGTTGCTGGCGGCAGGGAGGGGTGCAGGGGGTCTCCCCCAAATCCTGGCTGGCTCCACTCTCCATCTCCATGCGAGAGATTATCCCATTCTGGGGCTGTACTGGGGACTGGAGACACTGGGTGGCTTTAATGCCTTTGTGGTGTGAAGCATCGTGTGTGCCCATCACTGCATGGAGGGAGGAGGAGAAGAAGGAGGATGCCTCTCTGTCCCCTATGGGTCTCCCCCAAAACTGGTCTTTCTTGGGAGGGTGTCCATACCCTCCAGCAGCACCAGCCCGGGGGTGTGAAGGGACAGAGCCCCCCCGTGCCAGCTCATCCCTGGCTGTCCCCTGCTCTATCCCTGCCCTGTGTGCCCCCCCAGCAGTGATCCCCCCAGGCAGGGCGCAGGGCCGCCCCCGCCAGCGCTGTCCCGGCGGATGCGGAGCAGATTGGGTTTCCGATGGTTATCGGGACGGTGCAGAACGGAGACACTGACCTCTTTGTTTCAGGGAGAACAAGGAAAGGGCTCGCCACAGGGGCTGGGGCCACCAAGGGGAGCTGGGGCACGCACCTAGGGGTGACAAGAACACCCTGGGGTGCTGCGGGGTGCCTGGACACTACAGGAACCTCCCTCCATTATAGGGGTACCTGCAGATCCCTGCATGGAGCAAAACCTGCAAGAGCTCTGCAGGAACTGTCCCCTCCCTCCCCACCTTGGCGTGGGACATGAAGAGGCCACCACAGTCCCCAAGGGAGCTCAGACCCTGTACCCCAGCAGCGCCTGTCCCCCACATGACATGGGGGGGGGGGGCTGTGCACACATGGGTGCGAGTGCAGAGGTGGGCTGTGCACACACGTGTGAGAGTGCAGAGGTGGGCTGTGCACACACGAGTGCGAGTGCAGAGGTGGGCTGTGCACACATGTGAGAGTCCAGAGGTGGGCTGTGCACACATGTGAGTGCAGAGGTGGGCTGTGCACACACGGGTGCGAGTGCCCGCACACGCGTGGGGCTTGTGGCGCTGCAGCTCCGGGCAGTGATGGGGCCTCAAGCGGCCGCGCCCATCAGCCTGACTTGGAGGGTTTAGAAATATCGGGACGAATAATTAGATTTCATATCGTTACCGCGGCAGCCATCAGAGGATCAGGCAGATTAATTTCCACACACCCCCACCCCTTTCTGCTCATTAATATTCATTAAAGACGCGGGAAGGCAGAGGTGGGTGCAGGCTGAGCAGGGACCACTGTGACCCCCCCCCCTGCTGTCCCCAACCCACTGTGGGGTGTGGTGCTCACCCCCCTCTCCCACCCTCAACAGGGCCCCCCCGTGACGCTGGTGCTGGGGGACGAGAGCTGCTGGCTTTCCCGGCTGCCCCTCGTGCCCACGGAGCCAGATGCCAACACTGTCATCTACAGGAAGGGTGAGTACTGGTGACACGCGTCCCCATGCCAGAGGGGTCCTGTGGGGACAGCCATGATGGGAGGGATGGGTCCCTGTGCCATGGCTGTGCCCTCTCCCCAGCCAGCACCCATGTCCCCCCACATCTCCAGGACCTGCCACTGGCTGTCCCTGGGGCTTGTCCCCCATCCCAGCTCCCTCCCCCAGCTGTCTAGCTACAGGGGTACATGAGGAGAGTCCCAACGTGATGTGACTGGCCTGAATGTTGGCACAAGCATGAGGGCACAGCAGGAGCAAGGCTGAGTGCAGGCACTGGGACAAGCAGTAGTGCATGTGTTGGTGCAAGGCTCGGTGCAAGCATCACTGCACCCGCTGGTGCACACACTGGTGCAAGCGTTATCGTGCTCAAGGGGCAAGGCTCGGTGAAGCGTTCCTGCGAGCTGGAATGCGAGGAGCAGGAGCATGAGCAGGAGCAGGCAGAGCCGGGCCGGGCTGAGGCACAGGCAGACATCGCCATCTCCAGGCAGTCCAGGGCTCAGCCGTGGCCGGGTGGAAGCCAGAGGTCAAAGGCAGAGGGGACAAGGGCAGTGGGGAAAGCACCGAGGGGAACAGGAGGCTCAGAGCCGTGCAGCAAGATGGGGATGTGGGGGGTCCCTGCTGACTGTTGTCCCCCAGACCAAGCCCTGTGGTGCCGGACAACGCGCGCCCTGCGGGAGGATGAACCCGTCTGCGCCTTCGTGATGGCAGAGCCACCCGCTGTCCCCAACCACCATGGGGTGAAAGCAGAGCCCGAGGACTCCCCGTACCCAGCTGCACTGCACTCCGACATCCAGCTGCTCCCACAGCAAGCCGGCATGGCCGCCATCCTGGCCACTGCCGTGGTCAACAGTGAGTCCCCAGGGACATGGTGGGGGGGGACATGCTGCAGCCCATGGGGCCAGCACCACACGGTGGGGTCCCCAGCTCATCACACCAGTGATGTGTGTTCCTTCCTTGTCCCTTCCTCTCCACAGAGGATGTCTTCCCCTGCAAGGACTGCGGGATCTGGTACCGGAGCGAGCGCAACCTGCAAGCCCACCTGATGTACTACTGTGCCAGCCGGCAGAGCGCCGGCTCACCCGCCCTGGAGGAGAAGCCCAAGGAGACCTACCCCAACGAGCGTGTCTGCCCCTTCCCCCAGTGCAAGAAGAGCTGCCCCAGTGCCAGCTCCCTGGAGATCCACATGCGGAGCCACAGTGGTATGGCAGGGGGGCTGCTGCCTGGGGACACCGAGCCACATGCAAACACCCGAGGAGCTGGTGGCGTGGAGGGACAGGGAGGCTGAGGGAGGGCAGCACCAGTTAGATGAGGTTCCAGGGAAGCTGTGGCTGCCCCATCCGTGGAAGTTTTCAAGGCCACATTGAATGGGGCTTGGAGTAACCTGGTCTAGTGGAAGGTGTCCCTGCCCATGCAACCTTCCAACCCCAAACAGTCTGTGATTCTATGATTCTCCCCCAGTTCAGTTACTGTTTTGGGGCTGCTTATGTGTAGGTCTTCCCATCTGAGCTCTGTAAAGAAAAAGGGAGTACCCTGCTTCTTGCAGCCGGCACCCTCCTGTCTGGCATGGTGTCCTGGCAGTCCCTGTCCTCCTTCCCCCTGTGCTGAGGTGCCTGCCTGTCCATCTGTCCTGCAGGAGAGCGGCCGTTTGTCTGCCTGATCTGCCTGTCAGCCTTCACCACAAAAGCCAACTGCGAGCGTCACCTCAAAGTGCACACGGACACCCTGAATGGTGAGTGAGCACTCCCTGGTGTCCCCATGGGGACAACCCTGTTCCCTCCAGCACCTCCTGGGGATGAGGACCCACTCCCCAAGGGCTGTCCTGCCCACTCAGCCCTATGCCGTGTTCCCTGCAGGCGTCTGCCACAGCTGTGGCTTCATCTCCACCACGAGGGACATCCTCTACAGCCACCTGGTCACCAACCATATGATCTGCCAGCCAGGCTCCAAGGGAGAGGTGTACTCACCAGGGCCAGCTCTGCCCACCACCAAACCCCTCGCCACTGGTGGGTACCGTGCAGCCAGGAGGGGGGATGCCTGCCAGTGTTCCTTGCAGAGCCTGGCATTGCCACCAAGGGCTGTGGCCTCAAAGGGCTCTGGCCATGGGGAGGGACGTGAGGGATGGAGTGAGCATCCCCGAGCCAGGGATGTGGGGTGACACCGGTTCCTCTGTCCCCCCACCCAGGGCTGAGCCAGACGAACAACACCGCGGCCCTGCGGAAGTGC